TAAAATTCGACGACTACATGTGATTACAGAACAGAACACGAGAAACCATCCGGAAACTTTACCTAGCTTGGTCCCCGAGTGCTGGAACTAACATCGTTACATCTCCTTTGTTTTGACAAATTGAAGGAAAAGAAACAGCAAACAAGCAGAAAAGAACACGAAACCTGAAAATTGTCTCATTGTATATTTAGTGACTAAAATAACATATAGTATTTGAGTTCCAGCAAATAGAGGTGTAGGAAATATTCACTGTTCGCTTAGATAACGAGATCTTGAAGGTAGGCTGGCCTCTTAACTATTCTCCCACTTCTAGTAGTGACAGGCACAGGAGTATTTGAAGAAACTAACTGGTAGTCAGTCTGTGAACCCCCTGCTATCACTGACCCATCAGACATCTGCGGCGCCGGAGATTCAGTAGGCAGCACCGCAGTGTCCTACGGGTGTATTGGGCTACGGCTTGTTCTTTCAGATTACACTGCTTCATCATGTGAGCTGGGCTGGTATTTCTCGGCAACGTTGTAGAGGTGGGAGCGGTTGCAGCAATATTCTCTACCACCCTTTGTGCTGACCGTATAGGATCCTTCCGCCAGCTGATCCTCCACTTGAGTCTAAACAATTTACACTGACCTGGCAAAGGTAGGATCCATAGCTCCTGTGTCATAGTAAACAGCTTGCTTGTGGTTCTTACATTGCAATTTCTGTGCCACTTGATGAGCAACATTTTTCTGAAGAATTTTTGCCAGCGAAGGGCAGTAAGGAGCGAGTCCTTCGATAGAGGAGACGTTGTGCTGGAGAAATATAAATTATTTATGATGGTGAGCTTCTAAACTCAAGAGGAGACATATTTGGGTCATAGCTCGAGTCCGCAGCTTTCTTTAAGACAGCCTTTGCTGTCTTTGCAAGGTTTTTCTGCTTTTCCACTCGACTGGGGATATCTAGGTGAAGTTTTGATGTGCTCAAACTGGAAATCTTTCGCAAAGTTATGAAATTCACAACAGTGGAACCGTAGTGAGTCTATCTGACAGACCTTATCTTGCAAAATGAAGCTTCAGCTTAATTAGCAATAATCTCTTAATGATAAGTGGTAACAAGATAGTCGGTACTGTTGAGCTCAAAGAGGTCTGTCGAGATGCTCTGGCAGGGTCTTGTTGGTATTTCATGGCACACTAGAGGTTTTCTTTCTGCTGTGTTGGTTTGTAACTATTACAGATACTGCATCTTGAGATGACCTCTGGAATCTACTTGTACATTCCTGGCCGATAGAAAGCTTCCTTAGCCCTCCACAGACAGCCCTGGACACTCAGGTGGCTTGCATGTATTCCACGATTTTCTTTCACCCTTGAACACAATGACATTCTGAAATGACAGTTCCTCCCTGAAGTTAAAACGCTAAGAGGGGACAAAGCTGCCAAATTCTCTGGCCAACCCTGCTTACTGACGGTGGTTAACGACTCAAGTTCTGTATCAGTTTCCATAGCAGCCGTTATTTCTGAAAAAGTTACTGACGAATTGGTACAAACTCTGCCTATCTCATGTTCGCCTCCACTTCGGTTGGTGACCTTGAGTCATTCACATTCCCAACGTCTTATTTGACGTTTTCATCGTCATTGGTTGAAAGGAGATGCGCCTTGCTAAGCGTATCTGCAATATGTATCTCGTTACCTTTACTCTAAGCTCAGACTTCTGTAACTGCAATAGCATTCTTTGAATTGCAGCCTCTTCGGAGCACGCAGCTGACTGTTCTTCATAATAGACTCCAAGGGTTTGTGGTCTGTTTGAATCAAGACCTTTCTTCTATAGAGTTATCTCTCAAACGCCGAAGACAATTGATACCAGTTCTTTTTCAATTTGGGTGTTGTTAACGTGGCAGTGAGGGCTCTTGATGCGTATGCCACTTAATGGCCATCCTGAAAAACGCAAGCTCCAAGACCATCCAGAGAGGCGTCACATTGAATCACATTCTTTTTTTGGGAAGCATAAAACTTGAACACTGAAGCATAGGTTTAAGAATGGCGTGTCAAATGAAACTTGGGGGATCTTACTTTTAAACTCATATCTTAGGATATAACTTTTATCATGTTTTTATCTTATTTCTAATACTTATTTCTTACTGTTTGATTGATTTGACTTTCCAGGGACTGATCCTAGTCCCCCCCCCCGAAAAAGAAAATCGCTTTGCTTCTTGACTAGCTCTTTCAACAGCTTGAATAAGTTGGCTAGGTCAGGGACGAGATACGACGAGGCCTATGTAGGTGACTTCCTACTGTCTGAACTGCATCTCATAAGCAGTTAACTGCATGCTTTCTCCCGCAGCGGGTAAGCACCTCTCTTAAGTTCCGATCATGATCCTTAAGGGCTTCCTCATTTCTGTCCCCTGATCCAAAGACCATCTGCTATAGCCTTCTACCCTTGAAACTCTTCAAGTGCTACATTTATTCGCTTCTGAAATTCTTCTGGAGCTGGCGACAATTCAAATGGCATTCGCAGCCCCAAGATTTTC